TATCTGTGTTACCATCGGAGTAGGCAGAGAGTCGTGAGCCAGAATATTTGGTTCCGCATGGCTAGTGCTGTCGCCACAGACTGGTCAGGTTAGGATGTATAATTTCACTTGCCGACAGAAGAACGCCATAACCTTACCGGCGGTCTTCACATGAGAGCACTATGGTGTAACAGCCCTGGTGTAACAACTATTACTGCTGCTGCTACTTTAAGTGGGTAAAGCAGTTACTGTGACTTAAAGCTCTCTCAGTTAAAAGTTTGCCCCCCCCCTCCCCCCAAATTCACCGACAACTCTTTCCCTCATTGAAGTAGTTGGGAGAAAAAAAAACTTGAAAAGCAAACGAACACAGGAAAAAAACACCACAATTAGGAAATGAACGCCATTGTAAACAGCACAGCTTAAAATTCCAACGCAGATGAAATAACTAAATCTTAATGAAAAAAAAATGAAAATCTATAAAATTTCAGCGTAACCATGCAATCGGAAAGTTTAACAATGCAATCATAAGTATGCGAAATGGTCAAATTTAATTATCAAATGGTTTACCCATTTACTTGTTTTTTTTTTTTTTTTTTTTAAATATTAAGGCAACATGGCTAGTGCTGTCACCACGACAGAGCAGATGAGGATATTATTTTAGTCCGTGGTAAAAAAAAATTTAACGACTGCGGATTCGAACCCAGGTCTACCGCACATGAACCCAGTGTTCTAACCATTCGACCAAGCAGCAACTTAATCGGAACAACGAAAAGAGAACTCAACTATTAGACATGTGAGTCCCTACTACTGTGTCGCGATTAAAACACAACTCAAAACCGCAGGCAATTGTTTTCTCGTAGACAGATACTCCAGATATATTAATGAAATAGAAATCGCACGTGTCTAACACGGTTAATGAAGTTAATGTCGCAGTCACTGTCTGCGCCGACGTCGAGATAGTCATTGATTGCCCCCCCCCTTCCCCCCATCGAAGGTTGTTTGAAAAAAAAACAGAACATAGAAATCGTGTTTAATATGGTTATTGTGGCAAATATAGAGATAGTCTTGTTTGCTGTACCACAACCTACTCTATGTATTAGCATTAGAGAAGGCGTTGGCTGCACGTAACTCGCCAGCGAATGGTAAATACGGCGCATGCGCAATTACTAACGTGGCTATTATTAGAAATCACTAAAGTTATAAATATTAGTTGCGTATATTTTGGCATAAATTGTGGTCACCTATCTCTAACAGTGACAGGTTGAATTTCAAACCACGACAGTTCAAAATCCGGTATCACAACAAACATATCCTGAAAATTGCAGCTAAATCGTTTCAGTAGTTTCCGAGTCTATAGGGGTGAAACAAACACACAAACATTGATTTTTATATATATAGATATATATATATATATATCAAGGCCGAAGGGTTGCGATTTCCATAGTACCGAGCCAAAGGGTTAAGAACTCGTGGTTTCTAGAAACTTAATATACATATTTGTGTGTGTGTGTGTGTGCGCGTGTGTGTGTGTGTGTGTATAATATCAGCAGTTAATAGTGCCAGTCCTCTCCTGGTTAACAAGTATATCTGGGGTGCCTTCATCAATGTCTGGCTGTGTAAGTGTGAATCTTTAACAATTATCTCCATCAGTGTGTATGTATATCAATGAAGGCAATGAGTGATTTTCCAAATTGGCACTTTAGTGAAAATACCAGTTCCAAATTATTCACTGCGAAAAACATCCCTTTGAGAACCTCAAGAGGTTATGTAGTAAAAACACTTACATTTTAGGCCACCATCATAAGTTTCCACTTCTACCGTTACTGCTCGATGGATAGCAATGTTTATATGTTAAGCTATGCACCGTGGGGATGAATTGTTTTCGATCTAGTGAAGCGCTGTGGGGAAGAGTAGTTTTCCATCCATTAAAGCGACTTGTGGAGGAATTGTTTTTGATCCATTGTTCACATCACCCGTGACTCTCCTTGTGGGTTCCAGGACCACATGTTTGCGGGAAAAAAGAATAGATCCACTGCCACCTAAAAAGGCGACTAATTAGGACTTTACTGAAATCAGATGTTTTGGGTCGAAAGGAGCAGATATCGCAGCCTAGCTGCAAACCAAAACACAATGTGCCAACGGCCTTTTGAAGTGCTAAAAACATTATCATGCAGCGGGGAATCGAACACCAGTCACCCCGTGACAGGTGAATACTTACAACTGTATTACCGAAGAGTTAACAGTTTGGTTCAAATGAAATTATATAACACGCGTAGCATAGTTTGTAGTGTTCCTATTCCATATTTTTAAATATTTAACCTTTTGAGGCCCTGAAAGGGATTTTTTTGTAACAGTGAATAATTTGGTACCGGTATTCGGAAGGAAGAGTGTCTAATAGTTTGATACTATACTGTCATTAACATTACGGATTTAAACGTAGCTAATAGTAATAGTACTAATAATACTACTTCTGGAACAATAATGGAGGGGTGCATCTGCATCATCTGGGGAAAAAAGGAAGAGGAAGGCTACAGAGAATATGGGTGCAGGATGTGGCAGATGATTTCCAGATGGGTGTATCGTATCGGACGCGGGTCATCTTGCTTGAGATCGATAAGTTTTCCGGGGGATTGTGATTGTCATTGTGATTGTTATGAGGTTATGAGAAGCAAGGTTCTGCAAAGGACATGCCAGGCTATACTGACTAATTTCTGACTATATTAATTACTATTATTTGTATCAATATACATACGAAGTGAAATCCCAAAACAATTTATGCAACATTTAATATTTACAATGTTACTTAGTAACTTCACCTAACAAGCAAGTGAAAAAAAAAGGAACTCACTTATTATTTTGGCTGTGGTCAAATGAGCCCTGGTCAAACACCGCAAACCACGCACGGCAATCATTTAAAAAAAAAAAAGGTTATTAATTTTAAATTAAAGTAACGTAGGACTGTATTAATTCCAACCAAACCGTTTACAATAAACCATACTCCTAACACAAACTAATAACCACTGATAATCGGCACCTTTTGTGAAATATGTAAAGGCCGCTTTAATTTCTCCAGCTGAATAAGTAGTAAACACAAACCACCAGTTGAGCAAACGACCACCTAGGGGAGAGAATTATTTCGCGCCAGGGGAATGTCAATGTTTAAGAGTTACCTGCTCTTACCATCTGAGCAACTAAGCGATACAAACTATTATTAAAATTTGTAGGCTTCTCTTTCCAGAAAGCAATGGCAAATTACTGGACGTAAATTTGCCTAGAAAAACCACACAATAGCCAGGGGCTGTTGGGGTTGGTTCTGCAACGTCCTGTAAGGATACGCAACTAACCTTAGGCTTCTCTTGGAGTTTCAGAGGGGCATCTAATCTTTGCGAAAACTAACTAGTTGAGTTACAGTGAGTTAGAAGTATTAGTAACTATACAACTGGAAAATCGTATCAATTCTTTGAAGATCTGGATATACAAAAGATTAGGTCGTGTTTCATGGAAACAAAAGCTATCAAATACAGAGGTACTGAGGAAATTGGGAATGAAAAGAGAGTTGCTAGGGGAAATAAAAAAGACAAGTGAAATATTTTGGCCACATTAATTTAATGTGGCCAAAATATTTCACTTGTCTTTAAGATATAACAGTATTGTAAAGATCATCCTAGAGGGAAAGATTCAAGGTAGTCGAGCAAAAGGCAGACAGCATTACAAGTGGAAGGATAACATCAAGAGATGGACGAACAGCAGTATGAGTGAGTGTACATCAAGGGCAAGAGACAGGGCTTTTTGGAGATCCATTACAGCCAACCTTCATTGTGGAGACGGCACCTGATTGATTGATTAGTAACTATATCATACGAGAATTAGTAAGCGCAGAACTTGCGAATATTTTAGAAGCTCACAGAAACATTTTTTTAGAATATTTTATCTTTAACGTTTAACAATCACAACTGGAAAGCGAAAGACGTGATTTTGTTCTTATTTTGCTAGTATGCCAATATCATCAGAGGCGCGGGCCAAAGAAAATATTCACTGGGGGAGGGGGCTGAGACCCTTTCACATTTTCTGGGAGTGGGGGGGGGGGGGGGGGGTTGAGCGCCTCAGGAGACTTAAACCTTGTTCAAATGCTTGATTATATATATATAGATAGATTCAATAGAAATATATTTAATGTTTGAAATATTAAATATATAAATAAAAACTTTCAAAGAGAATTCATGTTCATGGGGGGGGGGGGGGGTGTGTGTGTGTGCTTAGCTTCTGAAAAAACTTCTGGGGGTGAGGCTACAGATTTAAGTCCCTGAATATATTATTATTGAAATAGGCACATAGCAAAAGTGCAAGCTGTTTAAAAAAAAAAAAACTTCGCTTATCTGGGAAAAACATTTGCATGTAATTCCCAAATTATATATGAGAAAGACCGAGCAGGATCACAGTGTAGACTCTAGAGGCAACAAGTGGAAATGGGAGGAGGGGGGAGAGGTGGGATTTGGAATAAGCACAAGGAGCTGCCACCTACATATGCATGCGCCTGCACACACACACACACACAAATACTGATGGTTAGTGCATTTGCATACAATGGGCCAGGTTCAATCGCAAGCAAAGGCAGGATTATTTTTTTACGGCCAGTACAAAAAATCCATTGTGACCAAAAAATATAAAGTATGCTACCAATTTTATTAGAAAATATAGATGTGGTTTAAAAAAAAAAAAAAGTTAAAGTAAGTAATTATAGGACCCTTTTCCACGCCTTCATGCGTATTCGGCTGAGAGCCAAAGTAATTTTTTTCTCAAGTCCAGCTCCATTAGGACCCAAAACCACGACCTTCTGATCTGCAGGCGAGTATCCAGCCGCTACACCACAGTGGCTCTTTTTTTTTTAAAGAGTAAAGACGAGATCAGTAATTATAAAACTGGAATGTAGTTCATAAAAAATAACAGACGAAGTTTGAGATGAATTATGCAATAAATACTGCAAAACTGACCTAATCATATTTCACTATATTTATTTACAGAGCATGGATGTTGTCAGAAACTTTAAAAGCTTGTCATTTGGACAGTTCTGTGGTTTGCAGATACTTGAATTTGTCTATTTGATGGTCCTAGCTTTTCTCCCGTTCCTGCTGGCATTCAAGGAGTCCGTTTATTTAATGCTGTGTATTCTTGCTGTTGTCGGAACAGTTGCTTTCGTCAGATTCTGTTCATCGCAGCTTGTAAACACTGCAGGAAAAGTTATTTTAATAACAGGCTGTGATTCAGGTTAGAAATTTATAGATTGAAAATAAAACTTATGGTTTATCTCTTTCTTCTTCTTCCTTTTTATTTTTTTCTGTTGCTTTTCCTCTCCCCCCTCATTCTTCTCAATCATCCCAAATGGAACAAGGCTCCGATCAGCTCATGCCGAGCACTCATGTTTTTTACCATAAACTGCAGCTGTTTCCATGTTATCTCTAGTTTCTAGTTATTTTATTAATACATTTTAAGAGTTTATTTATAGCTTAAATATGTTAGTTAGTTAGTTAGTTTCATATGTAAATGAATATTCATATGTTGGATGTGATCAGGGCTTTGATTTTGCATGCATACAGTTACTGTATATGGCCATAATTGCATACATGCAGAAACAAAGCCCTGGTCACATCCAACAAATGATTATTCATTTACAGCTGTATTTAAGCTATAAGTTGGAAATACACTGTCACCCTAATAGAGCCTGAAATGTGTGTGAAAGGCAATGAGTAGGCTGATAGATTGGCTGCTGCCATTCCTTGGTCGATGAATTATGATATGATATGGCTGCTGTGGTGAAAGCTCTGGATAGTGCAGCAGGACAGGGTATCCAGATCGGATTAGATTGATTCAGCAGGGAGTGAGCATAGTGTCTGGATAACAATCAGCATGCAGATGAAAAAAACAGTTTTTTTATCAGATTGTCACTGGCACTATCAGCATAGGAGATCTTTATTAGCTATTGAAGAACAGGATGGAGAACATCTAATAATGTCCTGAGTGCAATGTTATCAATTCATAATTAACTCTTTAAGTACCAGGCAGATGCTATTTAACACATTCTATTCCAGAAAGTGTTAAGTTTAAGTAATAAATGTTCGTGCAGAATAAATCAAATAATAACACAAGAGAGAGAGGAAGTTAAAGTAACGATTTTAGCAGAGTTGGTTGGTTCAACAACTGGATGTGGTATGAGGAGCTGAAAAAGATGTATAATATTCATATAACCAAGTTGCTGACTATTTGTCTTGCGTTGGCTTTGACAGTTGTACCAAGAGCTGACGGTTCAGGAAGCAGTGGCAAACTACTGAACGTAAAATTTGCAGAGGAAAACCACAACAGCCATAATATGCTGGGGTTGGTTCTGCAACATCTTGTAAAGGATACGCACATTACTTAACCCAGTAAATGCTTGCTTTATTGCTTGGTATTTTTTATCATTTTTTAAGAATATCTTGAACAGAGAAGAGGAGAAATACTGACATATTGAAAGATCCGAATATCAGGGAAGATTGGCTTATAAACAGCATTCTGTCTCGGAAGTTGAAACATTATGGTCATATCAAGCGCTACCACGGATTGAAAAAATAATAACAGAAGGCATGGTACCAGGAAGGAGGGGCAGAGGCCGGCCAACACAACGATGGGCACAGGATATAAGTGGCTACTTGAGTGTGGAAGTACATGAGGTGGGAGAGCTGACGAGAGACAGAGTTTCTTTCAGGCAGACCGTGATGAGAGCGACGTTCTGCAAAGCACCTGCTACATGGTGATGACTTTTAATCAAACATCACATTAATAATTTCTGTTCATTCCATTTAGGATTTGGAAATGCTTGTGCACGGCAGCTGGTTTCCCAAGGATTTACAGTTATAGCAGGTTGCTATAACATTGGCTGTGATGGTGCCCTTGCACTGAAGGAAATAGTAACTGATAATCTACATATTGTGAAGCTAGACATAACAAATGAGGAGGACGTTCAGAAAGTTGTTATGAAGATAAGAAATCTAAATCATGATAGAGGTAAGACATTTGTGTGTGTGTGTGTGTTATAGATCTTTTTGACATGTCTATGGTGAGGCGGCCTGAAGAGGAAGAAACAGAACCTTACATCTCCCTCTATATCCAAAGTGGTAAATGTGGAAGTGAAGAAGAAGAAGAAAGATCATTATGGAGTAGAAAGATCGTTATAGAGAAGAAAGATCGTTATAGAGAAGAAAGATCGTTATAGAGAAGAAAGATCGTTATAGAGAAGAAAGATCGTTATAGAGAAGAAATATCGTTATAGAGAAAAAAGACCATTATAAAGAAGAAATATCGTTAAAAAGAAGAAAGATCGTTATAGAGAAGAAAGATCGTTATACAGAAGAAAGATCGTTATACAGAAGAAAGATCCTTATAGAGAAGAAAGATCATTATAGACCTGAATATGCTCCAGCTTGAATCTTTTGATGAATATCAATGTTTAGAATGCTCGTAACATGATGCTGACCAAGCATTAGATTTATACAACTGAAATTATCTAGTTCAGTTAGCAGTAAGACAGCTCACTGTATTTCTTTGAGGAATAGGAGAGTTCATTAGTTAGATACTTGCTTCCCAACTTGAAGGTCATGAGTTTAAATCCACATTTAGGCAGATTTTTATTGAACTGGGCACCTGGGTCAGTCCATCTTACGGTTTATACCAGAAAATGTCCTTGGAAGTAAAGATGGCTGGCATGAGGTTGACCACTACATCAGTTGAGTGCAAGTTTATTGATAAAATTGTGAGTCTAGCACCATTTGTCCACTGCGCTATGGTGTGAAACATTTACTTTTATTTGCATATCCCATAATATTATTTACTAAATTTTAGAAAGGTAAAAAAAAATAGAATGCTTCAGCCTTGTGCCAATGAAGTGACCCTGTTAATCGACAATAGTATAATGTATGTTTTGAAAACAATAGGAAGAGTAGCATGGTAAGGTGAAATCTGCTAACACAATACTCCTTGCACAGAGATGAAAAACCCTCTAGTTCCCTGTTCAGAATTATGAGAATTGGTGAAGTATTTTCAGAATTAGAGGTGGATAAAAGATGGGAGCAGGTGCAACATTTTCAGAACTGGTCAACACTTTTGCTGTAAAAGGTAGAGGATAAAACTGAGTCTTTTAAAGACTTTTTCAAAACCAGTCTTCCATCATCTTCATATATTTATTTATACCTAGCCTGGTGGAAAAAACATAATATATGTCTCGGGAGGGGGGGTAGGGGGGGCTGTGTACGATAGCCAAGGGTAGGATGACTTGCAAAGGATAGGATGACTAATTCGTGATGAAGTGGTGAGCCCTTTACCTCGCACTCTGAAGGTCATGGATTTGTTTCACAGTAATAATCACTGGAGCTACAGAATTTGTGCTTTGTGCTAAATTTTCTGCAGGCAGAGAGACCAAGCCATATGGGATAACACCTGGTGCAGTGAAGTCGATCCTGATCACTTTAACCTTTTTTAGGATTACTTTAGATAAGTTGGTTGACGGCCTATGCTCCATTGGTGAATAAAGGAGGAGAAGAGGACTAGTATATATGACAACTTATCACTTCCGTGTCTGTCTTTGAACCGCACTCACCTTTTATATTAGTATTTGTGCTTTACACAAAATACTATTGATTGAAGTATCACTTTAGGTATTCATAACATTCAGATCTTCCCTAGGACTGTGGGCCCTTGTGAACAATGCAGGTGTGGGTACTTTTGGAGACATAGAGTTGCTATCTCTAGATACATACAAGGATGTGTTGAATGTCAACTTGATGGGGACACTGAGAGTAACAAAAGCTTGCTTACCACTGATAAGAGCTGCTAAAGGTAGGTCACTCTGTAAGCTTGTGTTTGCATTAGATCTGCCAGTTCCCTCTGTGGGTTCCAGAACCCCATTTGGGTTGGGGATAGACCCACTGCCTGCTAATAAGCGAGTCATAAAAGACAACTAATTAGGGACTTGTTGAAATTGGTCTTATGTAACATAATTTGCAAATATTTCAGCCTCGCCTTAAAGCACAACACAATGCGCCAACTACCTTTTTAAGTGCAAAAGTAGAAGAAAAGCCAAAAATTTTATAGTTTAATCAAAACGTCTGCCTAAATCACTCTGATCAGGTACAGACTTGTCAGATTATGTTGGATCTCATCTACACCGGACTGCAAGGTACAGCACTAGGTGTAATCATCACAGGAACCATAATATAACTTCTTAGGATGCTAAACATGTATCTGGGATTTGCTATGTGGGTTTATGTACGAGGGATCTTTCTACTGATGGTCGGTGGACCCCTGCTGTGCAAGCTTCCCTGTGGAGTACTTCTTCTTATTTATGTTATCACAATTGACATCACTGCATGCTGGGCATTTCCATGCATGCTCTGTCGTCCAATGCATGAGCCACCCAAAGGTACCTCTCTCAACTGATTGTTTCCACAAGGAGCTGGTTATAATGTCTCTTATCTCAGGCTTGAAAAAAAGATAGATAAAGTCGGGAGATGTGAACCAGCGTCATTGCACACGATTATAAACCATAAGTGCTGTGCCACCAGTACGGACAGCTGATAAAAAACTGTCGGCCTGTGTCGCTGTCCGCACGCAACTCTGTAGCTACAGCGACGTTCCTCCAATTACCCGAGAGTGTTAACTCTGGTACCCATTTCCTAGAGGCTGGGTGAACCTCAGGAACTGCCCAGTTTCGAACACTGGCCGTGTGCTGCAGCGAGTCGCAGCTGGATTTGAAAGCGAGTCTCATATTAACTGCACTAACGCAGCCTCAGATATCCCGGCTTTGAAGATAACATTGACGTACTTCACCAGTGGGTTAGCTGACCAGGTTGAGATTCTTATAGTGTCTGGAAAGGATGGGGGGATGGGGGGGGGGGGGGGGGTTTAGACCTTTAGGTAGCAACCTGAAGAGGGAAAACCCACAAGACAGCTGTTTTGGTAGGTGCTCTTGCTGACACTCATGCATGTATTCCTGTAAATTCTGGGGACAAGTTCTGGTTGTTCATCCACTTTGAAATTTTAGTCTTGATCTAGAAGTTGAATTTTGATTGTGTATCCATTTTACAGATCTGTCATATTCGTATGCAGACTGCTGGTTCCTTGCCCCTGTCAGTGCACTCCAACTTCAAAGAGTCATCATCATCATCATCATCAAATGCCTTGCAGATTGGCATAGGCAATCATGCCTCTCCACAATCTTTGATCTGCTACTGCATGTAACAGTTCGTTTGTTGAAACCCCTCCATAATAAAAGGCTGTCAAGAATCTTCTCACGCTGTCTTCCTCTGTTTCTCTTTCCGTAGATCTTTCCAGTGGTCACAACATGTTCCAGTTTCCTTTTTGTCGTAATATAGTCAATAAATGATGACTGTCACTTCCTGATGTTTGTGATAAGTTGTCTTTGAGTTCAAAAGATACACACCTGATTAGCTGCCTTTTACAATGAGCTTGTTATAGAGGCAGTGGGTCTGTTCCTCCTCCTCCAGTTTGGGGCCCTGGAACCTACAGGGGGAGCTTTGTCTAGTTTTAATCTCCTGCAAAGGTAGATTATTGTTTTAGCCAGTCTGACTCTGGGGGTCAACCCATACTAATTCATATGGGTGTCGAGCTATCTGAAGAATTTGTCTGGATATTCCTGAGAAAGAAAAGTGAGGACAAAAGGAACTGACCACCCAACCTCATATGTTATAACCTAGAATATCTGCTGAAAATAAATATGAAATCAAGCGCAGAGCATGGTTTCTCTAGCTCCAGCGATATATAAAAGATAGACATATAATCAAACTGCTACTGTCACTATCAGAATTGAAACACATTGCTGACTGCTGAAGATGAGGACAGAGCGCTTATGGGCATGTCCCGAGTGCTGTGATGTCAGCTCTTAGAATAAAATAAACCCTAGCTTAGAATAAGATCATAATGCTTGTCAACAGCATAAGCTGCTACGATACTAACTTCATATTTATGCGTAACATAACCAGTTGTTGAATGCCACTTTTATTTATTTTAGGTCGAGTTGTAACAGTGACTGGGTCAACAGGAAAACTCTCATTACCTGGTCAGTCAGCATTATGTATTTCGGATTTTGGCTTGGAGGCATTTAATGACGCTCTGCGGCTGGAGATGCAGCGCTTTCAGGTCAAAGTGATTACAATCAGGCCAGGAAATTTTTTGGGAGCCACAGGAATGCTGAACAAATCAGGGGTAATAGTATTGTCAAGTTACTTTTGTAAGTGAACATTACGCAACCATTTAGAGAAGAGCATTGTTAACATTGACTTTCTTAAGAAGACACTCAGCTAACATGAACAGAATTTTGGTCTTATGTAACAATTTAGAGTAAAACATTGTTGACATTAACTTACTTAAGAAGACACTTAGCTAACATGGAACCAAATTTTGGTCTTAAGTAACAATTTAGAGTAAAACATTGTTGACATTAACTTACTTAAGAAGACACTCAGCTAACATGAACAAAATTGTGGTCTTATGTAACAATTTAGAGTAAAACATTGTTGACATTAACTTACTTGAGAAGACACTTAGCTAACATGAAAAAAAATGTTGAACTATTTTTTATATATATCAGTATTTAATCTGTGTTTGAACTAGATCAATATTTAATCTGTGTTAGGACTATATTATTATTTAGTTTGTGCTAGAAATATACCAATATTAAGTACCTCAACATTAGAATTATAAAAATATTTAGTTTATTTGATTTGATTTGAATCAAGAACCGACATCGCAGCACTCGGGGCATTCCCATAAACGCTCTGTCTCCATCTTCAGCAGCCAGCGAAGAGTCCCGATACTAATGGTGCCAGTAACATTCTGATTAAATGTCCGTCTTGCCTTTCCTCTGAGCCTCGAGCATCTCCCAGAACCTCTCGTCACTCCCAACTGCATCAATCTCACCAGACTGTGGTGATCCGTCTGCTCCTCTGAACTGTACACGCTCTCCCACAAGGCACGACTGCCTTATCATGCATCACTGTTCCACCAAGCAGTGCAGAGCCAGCCAGTCTGTCCCCCTGTTCATTTTCCAACACACTGGCTTATCCTGGTGAAAGAAATCCAGACAATACTCCTCACCCGTGTCCTCCGCAGCGAGGCATGCCACTCTGCACCAAGCGTGCCTGTCCTGATCTTCCTCAGAATGTTTTCTGAGTCAGTTACTATCACGATGTGTGTGTGTGTGTCATGTTCTCTAGCCAGCGGAAAGCTGCAGTGAACTCTGTGTTAGTTATCAATAGCTAGTTTTATATATATGTGTGTGTGTGTGTGCATGCGTGTGTGTGTGTGTATGTGCGCACGTCTCTCTCTCTCTCTCTCTCTCTCTCTCTCTCTCTCTCTCTCTCTCTCTCTCTCTCTCTCTCTCTCTCTCTCTCTCTCTCTCTCTCTCTCTCTCACACACACACACACACATTTCACATTATGTTCGTCCATGTCTTATTTCTTCAGCTAGAAAAACTGAGGTTACATTTTGATTTGGTGACACAAAGAGCTGACCAGGAAATTCTTAGAGCTTATGGGCAGAACTATTTGAATAAACAGTATAATCAGGTAACAACTATCTTCTTATTTGTCTTTATTTTAAAATCATTTATTAACTCTTTCAGTACCAAGGACTGATGCTAAATTCCCCCCCCCCCCCCCCCCCCCCCCCCCCCCCACCCCCCCCCCCCCCCCCCCCCCCCCCGGGACTCAAAGAGAAAACTTGTCCATATCATAATCATGTAGCAAGCCCTTCAAAGAACATTGCTTCTACAACACTTCAACTGAAAAAAAAAAAAAAAAACTTTGTGTCTCACAAGCTCCTCTGCCTCCAGCACTTTCATGTCAAAGATCCATCTATGCTGGTCGTCTCCTGCCTCTCCTGCCTGGTACTATGCTTCCCCACTTCTGTCCTTTTCAAGCTATTTGACATTTGTTATGGTGAAAGTATGAGCCAGTCTTCTTCTGTGTTCAGATCTTTTAGAATGTTATTGTTTTTTGTTTTTTTAAATTTGTTTTTCAAGCTTCTCTCCAAGATTGCTGCAGTTTGTAAGACTAACGTCTCAAGGATGAGAATCAGACAAGGAATATTTTGTTATAGGAATGATTTCAACATTGTTTAACTGATCATTAAATGAAGAGCAAGGGTGGACAAGAGGTTAGGACATTGCGCATTAATGTGGGAGACCCTGGTTCAAATCCTCGGTAAGGTAATGAAAGATTTTCTTTTTGCAGGATAAATAAACATCCTAACCTTTACAATTTGTGGTTACTGCAGGCCTAAATCCTCAGGCTCGACCCCCCACCCACTACCTTACATCCTCTTAAAAAGTGGTACTATAGACAGTAAAGACAGCTTTAGTATTTTTTCAAGTTATTAACTATCATACAAAACTAAAACATAAAAAAAATCTGCATAAAAAGCATTGTTGGGTCAAATGAAAAAGAAAGCCATGAATACTGGCCTCTCATTATCTCCTTGGGAGTCGCTGTGGCCGAGCGGCTAGACACTCGCCACGGATCAGAAGGTCATGGGTTCTCTCCCTGGCGGAGCTGGGAGTAAAAAATGGAGTCAAAAATTACCTTGGCTCCCAGGTCGATCCAGCCTTGAGTGGGTACCGGGTGCAGTTCCGGGAAGTAAAGGCGGCCGGCGTGATGCTGACCACATCACCTATCTTGTGCCGATTGGTCTATAAAGATTTAGGTCTAGCACTTTATGCCCTTTACGCCTAAGGCGTGGAAAAGGGTCCTTTACCTTTTTTACATTATCTGCTTGTCAGTGTGGGAACGATATATGGTTATAATTTTGTGAGTAGACATATGGGAATATGAATGCACATGCTAGTAGGTATGTATGTACGTGTATATGTGTGTGTATGTATATATGCATGTATTTATTGTGCTACTTTGTGGATTTGTAGTGGTGTGTTTTTTTGCACATGTGTATGTATACGAGTATATATGCATGCAATGCAAGACTGGCCTGTGTACCTAGTTTGTGACTGTTTAAAAAAAAAACAATCTGACATGTTTGTATGCAGACTTTTGGCTCCTTGCCTCTCAGGCGGATGCACTTCGACTTTGAAAAATGCTGAAAGAAGCTCCCAGTGAGTCAACTTTTATGTCATGCTTGTTGGGGATGTACTTGGTCTGTTCTTGTTTTCCCCACAATGTGGCCCTGGAACCCCACACAGTGTTCTTTTCTTGAATTCCTGAAGTGGGACCCTAGTTGATGAATGAGACAATTTGAAAGTTGATCAAGCATTCATGAATAACGAGGCACCTGGGTGTAACCAGAGGGTCTGGCTGGTTTACTACACTCAGAGGAAAGGCAAGATGGACATATAACCAGATTGTGACAGGTACCATCAGTTTTGGAACTCTGCGCTGGCTGCTGAAAATGAGGACGGAGCACACATGGGAATACCCGAGTGCTGTGATGACAATTCTTGAATGAACTCAACTCATGAATAATGTATTGTTATCAAGCAGTTCATGAGTAATGTGGCGGATCTCTTTAACAGCTGCAGAAACTATCCAAGCAAACAGCAGGTAGCCTTATCAGTGTTGTAGATGCCGTGGAAGCTGCTGTAAAGAGCAGGCATCCAAATACTCAAGTTCTTGTGGATGGTGGCAATCAGCTGATTGACATTGGAAATGTAAGTCTACTACATTTACATTTGTATCAGTTAGACAGGAATAAATGTGTCCTATTGTATCAAGTCATGGTAACTTTAGCTTTCGATTTTCACATTGTCTCTGTCTCCTCTTATTTCTGCTTCTTTTTCTGAGTGCCAGTCAGTACATCACTGTGTTTATTAGGTAGACAGACTAAGGCAATCACTATCATTAAGAGATGTAAGGTACTTTCCTCTACTAGACTGCAGGACACCTCATGGGCAGGGATGCAGTACCCACTTAGCCTACTAATTAGGGTTTGAGTGAAGTCTAAACATACATAACATAACCCTTGACCTGTTAGGGTCGTGGAGGTGTGTTGATGGAAGCACTAACACAAAACTTGCTATCTTTCTCTATTTTCCACTTGATGAACAAGTGTAGGAAACTTAGTCCTGTCAATTTCTTGATGTTGTCCTTCCGGGTTCTTCTTTGCCCTCTTGGACTACCAAACGCCCAAACCAGGCTAGCTTGCGAATTTTACTACTGCCAAGAGAGGCTCCTGATGTCTTGCAAATTTGTCTCTAATATTTTATTTAGTTTTATGTCTAAATAACTATATCATAAAATGCATCTGTAAGCAAATACAAAAGTCTTGGCAGGTGGTAGATGTAGATCTGCAGACAAGTTTTCAAACCTGGTAACCACTTTAGCTGTATAAAACTAGACCACTATAGGCACAGTGGGTAGGACAACTGCCCTGTATGTGCACTGCCCTGAGAGAGAGAGAGAAAGAGAGAGAGAGAGAAAATTGCAACCTCCTGCGAGATTATTTGCAAAGAAAATCATATCTGAAAACACAAATTCATTCTCTGTCAACTCTGGTGAAAAGTACTGGCTGTTCATCCACTTTTGGACTTTGGTGTTGTTCTATAACTTGAGTTTTACTTGCACATTTATTTTACAGATCTGGCTTATTTTAATACAGACTGTTGGTTCCTTGTCTCTCAGGCTGATGCACTCCAGTTTTGTTGGAAAAACCCTTTTTAAGAAATGCTTATTAGGGGTAATGGGTCTTACCACCCCCCCCCCCCCCCCCCCCCCCCCCCCCCAATGGGACCCCAGAACCCACACAAGAAACATTGCAATGCATGTTATACAACTAAGAAAGGTGGATGTGAGGCTGGCAGTCCTATTGAAACTGTAGCTGTAAAATTAAATCAGTCATAAACACAACTACAAATGATTCAAGTGGTATTGGGAGCTGACCTTTCAGCAGCAGTGGCAAACTACTGAAAGTAAAATTTGCTTAGAAAAGCCACAACAGCACCCAAAAAATGCTGGGTTTGGTTCTGCAATGTCCTGTAAAGAATACGCAACTAACTTTTAACTATCAGAGTAAGAATGTCATCGAGACTTTCCTTCCAACCCATTACTAAAGTATTGATCTCTATGGGGACTGTGTTGCAGATTCTCCTTCAAGCTTTAAAAAAACCCAAAAAAAACTTGGTTACATAGGACGTACATACCATCCGAGCATTTGATGGCTGTTTGTGTTTTTACTTAACAAGTTTATGTTCACTAGTTTTCCCTTGTTTCCTGAATGGTTTCATGTACTGATACCGTTGTTGAAATTAATATAGAGCAGTCTGCTGTCAGATTATCTGCAGCTGAATCAGACCTGCATGTCTTTATTATGAAACTGTGTTCATAAGCCCTCAGCCGCAGATGCCGGCATTAGGATGTATTTAGGTCGGTATTGAGCATGATACATACAGGTAGTGTTGCTTCCACTGGTTTTATTATTTATTATATACAGACAGTAGACAGATTTACATATCTTGGCAGCTTACTCGCTCAGAAAGTTAACATAGATCTAGAGATCAATACAAGGATATCCAAAGCCAGCAGCATATTTGGTAGACTTCGTACAAAAGTCTGGGACAGAGCTGGCATCAGCCTGCAGTCGAAGCTCAAAGTGTACAAAGCTGTCTATGCATGAGAAACATGGACCGTTTACCAGCGCCATGCTAAGAAGCTGAACCATTTTCACACAGTGTGCCTCAGAAAATTGCTGAACATAAAATGGCAAGACAGGATCTCTGAAACTGAAGTCCTTGACAGAGCTGGACTGTCCAGTATTTACTTAATTCTAAAACAGTCACAATGTTGATGGACAAACAACAACAGAGGTTTGAAACTTCTGTCCAGTTATCAATATGACACCACCACAAAATTCAGAGATTTTTTTTGGGGGGGGAGCATTGCCATCATCAAGTGCCTTGCCAGCTGGCGTAGGTGTTCATGCATCTGCACCGATTTTCTGAGCAATGACTAAAATACATCCCGAATATTTACTCTAAGCATTGTTAAAATTAATTATGGCGTTTAAATGCTGTTTATATTTTCAGATACTGGTTCGCCTTCAGCCATTTCTTCCGTGTTTCCTGCATGATTTTCTGGTAGCCAGGCTGTATAGACCTAACATTGGTCACACAAATAACAAAACTTAAATACATTTGCATTATAATATTATTTATATATATATTATATATTTTTACTGACGTGTTTTCCTTTTTTTTTTTTTAAATTAATAACATAAATAATTCAATGAAGATTTCTTCTTGGTAGGCATAATGAAGCAATCTTTTCCAAATAATTTTGTTCACACAAAATGTATTCTTATTTTCCCCCCTCCATGATTGCTTTCTTAAAGATTAACAACCACTGGCTTAAAGAACCATATTTGGATGAGAATCCAAGAGGAGAATATATAATCCAAGAGGAGTTTTTATAATCCAAGAGGAGAACGTATAATCCAAGAGGAGTATATCCCTTAAACCCTGTTAAACCCCCCCAAAAAAAACCCACATCTGCACCCGATGGTTAAAGAGTAACCTGTAAGTAAGTATTTAAACAACGTATAAAACACTATCTGACCTTTTTTGACACCTTAAGGCATATTGGGCTTATAGGGCTAGACTTATATTTTATACACCAGTCAGCACTCAGTGGGTGATGTGGTCAACATCACACCAGCCAACTTTACTTCCCAGGACTTTTCCTGAAACAAATTTAAGGCTGGGTCAGCAAAAGTTATTTACTGTCTGAGGCGACATTCCACAGTTGACATGACTCGTAATGTTTCGGCTATGACGACAGATTTAAAATAGACTTGCTGACATAAGTGACAGAACTGTCAAAAGTAAAAAATAAGAAAGCCCCTGATCAGGTCAGGACATTGAGAGGCAAACGATGGACTCCATTCATCATGCTTGAGGACCTTGATTTTGCAGATGATATAGTACTCCTTTAAAATAAACATGAACATATACAAGAAAAAAGTAATAGACTACACAGCACAGCAGAAATGGTGGGACTGAGAATAAATACAAAGAAAACTAAGATTATGACAAGCAGTCCAAACCAACAACCAGTGACCATAAATAACCAAACTCTTGAAAATGTAGAACATTTCACAAATCTTGGCAGTGTGGTGTCCCTGCCGGAAGGGACCAAAGAGGACATACAGTCACGTCTGAACAAAGCTAGAGCTGCTTTTGGAAGGATGAGGCAAGTCTGGAAATCCAACAATTACTGCAGAGGAACGAAACTCCGACTCTACAAGAGCATCATTTTGCTAGTTCTTCTTTTTGGAGCGGAATGCTGGAGAATGACCAAAAAGGATGCACACAAGCTGTCCACCTTCCACCACAAATTTCTACGTAGAATTATCAAAATTTTCTGGCCAGATACAATCTCAAACACTAAACTACTTCAAGTCACATACCAAGAAACTTTAGACAGTATGATAACCAAGAGAAGATCAAAATGGCTTGGCCACGTTATGAGAATGAATCCTAATATACCTGCCAAAACAGCTCTCACATGGACACCAGAGGGAAAGAGAAAATAGGGGCGCCCAAAAACAACATGGAGACGAACGATGGAAAGTGACCTGAGTGCGGCATCTCTGACATGGAAAACTGCACTGAAGATTGCACAGGACAGGAAAGCATGGAAAGTCCTCTTTGAAGCCTCATGTACCACTAGGCATAACGAGAACTGATGATCATGACAGTTACACTGACTCCTGCGCTGGCAAATGAAGATGGAAAAACGAACAAATGACGCAAATACCTGACAACAACCAGTCGGTGAAAGTCAGGTTGCTGATGCATCTTCACTTGGCAAAAGAACTCATCAGAGGTGAACCACGACCGGCTCCAGTTGACAGGCCGTGCTGCTGACGTCACCGGGTCAGGCTAACAATGCGTTGAAGCAGCGGTTCTCAAACTGGGTGCCGAAGCACTCTGGGGTACCGGGGGTGCCGAGGCAATAATCAAGAAAAGTCGGCTTAAAATTGTGAAATTATTAAAGAAGGCATGTAGATACTTAAAAGTTCAAATTTAAGTCTTCTTCCTTCGCCACTGTCGAAAATAGTTTTTTTTCTTGTTTTGAGAACCGCTGCGTTAAAGCATCGTTAGCCCGACCAGCTGACGTCAGCAGCACGGCCCACCAGCTGGAGCCGGTCGTGGGTGAACTGTATTAACTTGTCATGAAGCCAGAAGCAAACCATATGATGCATGGTTAGATTTGAGACTATACAAGGTAACTGAATATTTATGCCAAATGTCAAGGGGCATTCAATCAATCAATCATCCCGTAACATTATCTGTCGTTGGGTCACCAGTTTCTGTTGACTGTCTGATCAGCTCTTTCCACCTTTGGCGGTCAGTTGCGATGGACTTCATGGTTGCATGCCGGAGACCTGTCCAGTCAGTCAGGTTCACCTTCTTCTTTGCGTTCACCAACTGTAAACTCTGGCGGAAAGTTCTGGTTGTTCATCCACTTCTGGACTGCAGTCCTGTTCCAGAACCTGATTGTTGCGTGTGCATCCGTTTTACAGATCTGACTCATTTGAATGCAGACTGCTGGTTCCCTGCCTCTCAGGCAGATGCACTCCGACTTTAAAGAAAGCCCCCAGTTAGTCCACTCTTACGACATGCTTTTGGGTAGGCAGTAGGTCTATTCTTGTTTTCCCTATAATAGGGCCCCGAAACCCACACAGGGAAGTCAGGTTCTGTAACCAGTTCTTTCTTGGTCTGCCTCTTCTTCTCTTTCCCTCTACTGAGCCCTGCAGTATTGTTTTTGAGAAGCTGTTAGATCTTATTACATTTCCATACCATTGCATTTTTCACCTTTTTACTGTAGTTAAAATAGGTTCAAGGTGCATTAGGAGGAGAGACATCTGTTACCTGTCAAACCATTAAGCATGTCTCATAGGAGAAAAGACATCTGCTACATGTCAAACCCTTAAGCATGTCTCAGGAGAAAATACATCTGCTACTGGTCAAAACACTAAGAATGTCTCATTAGGAAAAAAGATATATGCTGTCAAAACACTAAGCATGTCTTGCAGACTATTTGATCTTTTTCAGTTCCAGGAAGTTTATCATCATAGCCCAAGGGGTATTAAAGAGAGATTTCTTCTTCTTTCATCTTTGCATTCAGTTTTGTATGCTCAGATCAGACCATCATTTGGGTTGCCTCTATGAACTCGCATGTCAGCAGCAGGTCCTGAATGGTTCCCCTTAGCTTACTTTGCTCTTGAGGCCAGGTGTCTTTTCACAGTTGTAGGTAGAGTGGGGTTCGTCAGAAATTAAAAGGAGGATGGCCATAGCAATGCAAAGATTGAACAGCCTTAAAAGTCTATGGTTAAGGAGATAAAAATTAGAATTTTGAGAGCATGCATCTTCCCTGTTGCTACATACGGATGTGAGTCGTGGACTATCTCTCAGTCCTTAAGAAAGAGAATAGGAGCTTTTGAGCTGAAATGCTATAGAAAGATTCTCAGAATATCTTGGACAAAGAAGATGAGAAATATTGACATCTTAAAAGATCTGGACGTCAAGGAGGATTGGCTAATAAACAGCATCCTTTCTCGAAAGCTGAAATATTTTGGTCATATCAAGCGCCACGATGGATTGGAAAAAATTATAGCAGAAGGCATGGTACCAGGAAGGAGGGGCAGAGGCCGACCGACACGAAGATTGGCACAGGATATAAGTGACTCCTTGAGTGTGAAAGTTCATGATGTGGGAGAACTAGCAAGAGACCGAGTTTCTTACAGGCAGACTGTGATGAGAGCGACGTTCTGCAAAGGACCTACTACCTGATGATGATGAGGTAGAGTGGGCAGGATTGCACCATGTGCTTAGGTGTTTGTTGTTCTGTTTGATAGGCACACTGTGGGGACTGTACAATCTTTATTTTATGCATGTCGCAGTTGAGCCTGTAGTCTTGTAGACGGAATATTGTTGTATGATGCTTTTTGTTGAGTCTGCTGATGGGGTCTTGTGGATGTTTAGTGTTTGTTCTCTCCACAATTCCTTGTATTTTTTCTTGATAAAAATAAAAGAGAGTTGTAAAATCGGCCTGTTTTTTCTAGGTAGGAACCTATGAATGTATGATGCGTTTTGGGACTGATAGAGTTAAAAATCAAAGATACAACAGTTTGCATTTATGCTTTATGCCTACAAATCGATGGCGAACATATTAGTCTCTATAAGGTTGTACCATCAACTGTTTATGGATCAAATATGTGTATTTTTTCTCCCTATATGGGTTCCATTGGTCTCTCTGGTAGGGGGGGGGGAGGTAACTATTTAACCCCCACCCCACCCCCACTGTATTTCAAGCTTCTTGTAAAAGTTGATTAATTATTGATTTGCTGAAATTTGATGTGCTGAGCGAAAAGGCACAGATATCAGAGCCTAGCTGTAAACCATAACACAGCATGCAAACCGGCCTTCACCATTTTCGGTACCAGAAGGCTTCAAAAGAGCTACCAAAGTGAAGATATAAACCTTGATGAAATTCGTTTTTTTTATACAGCAATTTACACAGCAGTAGTGACTATTTTGGTTGGGCCTAATTTCCTTATTATGTGCTGACCAGATATTAACACATTAGGCCTCACTTGAGACATGAAAGAGTTATAGGTCGAACAAACATTGAAGAAGAAACAATATCTTTTTCTTATTTTTCTCATTCCTTTTTTGAAGGAAGTAATTGCACCTAGCTATGCAACTTTCTGCTTCCAAGATCAGAGCGTCTGACTTGATAAATATCTAAAATTCCTTCCACTTAACCAGTTTTTCAGAAAAGTGGATGTTGGGGGGGGGGGGGGGGGGGGGGGGTCACTGGAATAACTTAAGTGCCTTTGGTAGATGCTCAATTAACATAATAGGGTAATGAAACCATAACAGTACTCAGGTTCACCCTTCTCATTAAACTTTTGTATAATGTTCTTGATTTTTATTTTAATATTAACCTTCACTGTCTTAATTTTCTGTATATAATATGAATGTTGCTATGACTAAATTAAATAAAATGCAAATTTTACTGTTTTATTTCTCATGGTTTCTTATTGACATCTTTCTTTAGACTGTTTTTAGACTCTTAAGAAGAGTACTTGGAATAAAGTAGCAAAATAAGATCACAAACACTG